CCCCGAAACCCCAAAACCCCAAAACCCCATTAGAGTTATTTTTTAAAAAATTAATTGATTTGATTAAATTATAGATAAATAATAAATATAAGCTTTTAATGAGCAACAATAAGAAAGAGTAGCTTCTCAAATCAATCACAAACTAGTTCTATCAAAAATACAATTAGTTGAGTTTTGACTAAATTCAGATGATAGTATCCTCGCACATAAATCCTCAGTCTTAATTATCATCTCAAGTACTACATAGCCATTTAAATTTAATAGGACTTGAATAACATCGAGAAAGAACTGAAATAGTTCATGTGAGATAACAGCATTTAATACTTTCCTGGTTCCAGCTAAGCTAGTAACTACCATTCTCATAGAAATTAATCATAACAAGCAAGATCATACACAAGCTCAGCTTTAGCAAGTTACACCAATATTAAAGCAAATGAAACACATGAGCTGCCGAGTATTAGAAATACTTCTAATACTCCTGGGATTGGGATAAAGGCTGATAAAAATTTGAGAGCCTCCTCAGTCAACGCAATTCAATAGTAAACGTCATAAACAAGACCTGTTCTAGAAAAACAAAAAGAAATAGAACAGCTTTTTAACAAACTAGTGGTAAGACCACATGACAACATTATTTCGTCGGATTATATGGATAAATATAATACAAAATAAATGAGACTGAGAAATAAGCTCGTTAATCTTTCTCATTTGAGTTCAACAAATGAATATGGCTCAACCACTAGAAAGCCGTAACTTAAAAGTGCTTGTGAACTTGAATAGTTGAACAATACTTAGAATCATACCACAATGAATAAATCTCATCATAATACTATCACTGCTAAGTCTCAGATCTAAAGCATTTGGGATATAGTCACATTACACTAGGTCATGTAGCACTAGCAAGAGATTAAAGAAGCATAGATTAAGAAAAAGTAGAATAAGGACATGCTAAAATCCTCTTATGATGAGTAGCAGAAGTTCATTGATCACCAGAGATAAATGCAAATTGACGAAATAGACTAGGATAATTAACAGCTAATTAGGAATATCAAAGACCACAAAAAATTCTTGAGAAGTAAAAAGTAGTAAAAGAAGTAGCAAATGAGAATGCTATATGATCACTACACAAATCATGTCAATACTCGCGATAACAAGATTATTTAGGAGTATGTGATTAATAAAAAGGATGACTAAATCAAAGTAGCTCAGATATCAAATGAATATTAAGTAGAGAAGTAGGAGAAGAAGCTACTTAGAAGATATTTACAAGAAGATGTATCAAACTTTAACAGGACACAGCATGATAAAACGTTGCAAAATATATAGTTAAAGAAATAGATTGATAAGGATCAAGATGAATCTCAGTTGAGACATCATTTTAAGCCATTCGATACAGCCTAAGAAAGATATCGCAACTAAATCTAAAGATCACTAGAGAAGCAGGAGGTAATTAAGTAGTATACTATAACTAGTCCATTAAAGATTCACTCTCTTGCTGAAAAGGACAGAAAAGATAACCTTGACTAAATCATCAATAAGAATTATGAGAAGGGCATAGCAGAATTCAACAAGCGGGAAGATTAAAAGCTGCTTGTGATGAAAAAGAATCTGAGCGAGATGCGCAGTGAACAGTACAATCAAATCAGGATAAAGAACTTATTACTGAGAGAAGAGTACGACTTTTCTAAGATGCAAGAGGAATAGCTGCTTAAGGTTGATAAGAAGATATTTAAACAGCAAAAGTTGTAGGATAAACTGATGAGATCAAGTTAAAAAGAAAAGGTTAAGGATGAATTGTTGAAATAGATGCAAGAACAGGAAAGGACCTTCGGAGTAGAGGACATAGATAGCAAGGAGTTTGCACTGAATAAGAATCTCATTAAAACATTCAAATTTGGAATCCAGTGATTAAGGACTCGTTTTCGTTGATATGCATTATATATTTTATTTATATCTTTAATTTTGCATTTTAAAAAATAATATTAATGATATATAAGTTTATTTTTTACAGTGGGGTTTTGGGGTTTTGGGGT